CTGGGCTCCTTGCGGGCGCGCTCCCTGGGGGCGCTGCGGGTGAGGTGAGGGGCGGCGGCGGCGCCGCTCACCGCCGCACCCCTGCCCCGCCGTGGGTAGCTGCGCACCAAGCTGTCCTCCCAGGAGATCCAGCAGTTCGCCGCGCTGCTGCACGACTACCGCGACGGGGCGTCCGTGCACGAGTTCTGCATCAACCTGCGGCAGCTGTACGGGGACAGCCGCAAGTTCCTGCTGCTCGGTGAGCCCCGCGCCGAGGGCCCTTGCCAGCGACTGGCGGGACCTGCCCGTGGCAGCCAGACGGAGGGGCGGCCAGGAGCTGCTCGCCCTGGAGCGGGGGCCAGGGTGCGGCTCCTCAGGGGCTTGGCGCTCCCGTGGGTTTCGGTGGGTGACGAGGAGTTTGCGCACGGGGGAGTGGACCCCGTTTCCGGGTAGAAGGACCTGCCTTTGCAGAGATGCCGGCCCTGAGAGCCGGGTGGGCAGGGTGGTCGGGGCCCTGCCCACCTGCCCACGCCCTCGGGCATGACAGTGCTGACCCTAGAGACCCCGGCTGCTTGATGGGGGCCGGCGGAGGCTCCCGGGCTCTGCCCCCGCCATCCAGGGGGGCCTGGGTTATACCCTTGTCAGCAGCCACTGAGGGGCTCTCCACTCACGGGGGACGTAGGGCCGGAGGCCTGGCCTGCTGCGTGCAGTCTGAGCCCTTGCCGACCCTGTGGCCTCCCCGCCGGGGTCAGCCATGCAGCCAGAGGCTGGGGTCCGAGGCCCCAGCCCCCAGCTCCATGTTCCTTTCTGGCTTATTCTTACAAAAGTGGGTGGTACCCCTCAGAGGTCAGCCTGCCTCCCCCCCCGCCCCCGTTCTGCACCCGGAGGCCTGTGGGTGCCGTTCCACCAGGCCCGAGGGGGGGAGATGGGGCCAGCCACCCGCCGCAGACGCGGGACCTGCGCAGGCGTGTGGTGCCCGTCGGACGGGGCTGGACGCGGGGCGGGTGCGGCGGGCGGGCTCGTTCTCCCCGCAGGAGGCCTGGCGTCAGGCGCACCCTGTGTCCACAGGTCTGCGGCCCTTCATCCCGGAGAAGGACAGCCAGCACTTCGAGAACTTCCTTGAGACCATCGGGGTGAAGGACGGCCGAGGTATCATCACCGACAGTTTTGGCAGGTACCGGCGGGCCCTGAGCTCCGCCTCCGCCTCCACCTGCACCGGGAACAGGGCCACCGGCAGCTCCGACGACCAGTCCGCGCCCTCGGAAGGGGACGAGTGGGACCGCATGATTTCGGACATCAGCAACGACATCGAGGCTCTGGGCTGCAGCATGGACCGGGACTCGGCCTGACGGCGCCGGGAGGGGCCCACCGGTGCGCCCTCTACTGTGAAGGATCGGCCTCGGGGCGCCGGTGCCCAGGAGGGGTCCTGGGGGTCCTTTCAGTTTTGCACACGACATTCTTGTCGAAACTCTCAGAGACCTTCAAAGAAGTTTACTGCGATGTGAATAATTCCTTTCTGGTCCCAGCGTGCTTCCGGTCTCGCGGGGTGGGAGCCGGGCCTGCACGACGGGCTGGGCGCTGTGGCGTGGGGGCCGGCTGCCTGTTGGTGCTCGTCGCAGCAAACCGGGAGCATGGGATTGGGGCTTTTGCTTCATGGACGTGGGGTTGGGACAGCAGGGGGCCTGGGCGCTGGTGCGAGTGCAGGTCCTCGCTGCTGGGCGCGGGCTCCGGGTTCCCAAGCGTGGCGCCTGCCCTCCTTCCCCTCACCCCCCCGCCCCCGAGAGCCTGTCATCTTGGAGCCCAGGGTCCCGGTCTCCAGGGGGCTTACGGGGGGCACTGTGTTCTAGGTCTTCCCTGGGCTGGGCCCCTCCCCTGGCCTTGGCACATGGGGAGGCAGTGGGGGTGGCCCTGGAGACGCCCTCCTCACCTAGAAGGTGCCTCTCCCCTGGGAGACCCCCGACAGCACGTGTGGGAAGCCCCAGGCCGAGCAGGGTGGGTGCTGGGGTCCCGGAGAGGGAGCACAGAGCCCTGGGCCCACAGTGAGGCCGTGTGGGGGCCAGGCGGGGGTCTGCGTCCTGGCCAGCGGCAGGTCGGGATGGGAGGAGGGCTCTCAGACTTGGTTCCGGCCTGCGCTGTCCGGGAGCTGGTAGTCGGCCCAGACCCGCAGAGCTAAGGGGATATGGGGTAGGTCTCCAGACAGGAGTGCAAATCAACCTGCTCTGGAAGCATCTGGAACAGCTGAAGTCATCCAGGCAGGGCCAGCCCATCCTGGGTGTGAGTGGCCCCAGCGAGCGGTCGGGGGTGGGGTGGCCACACTGTGGAACCGGGTCTAAGTGTCCTGTGTGGACGGCAGGAGCCGCTCCCTCCTCTCCAGGGGCCCCTCTCACCTGCAGCCCCCCTCCGCAGGTCCCTGGGCTTTGGAGAAGAGGGAACATGGAGGAGATGGGCAGCCCCTCCAGAGCTGGGCACCAGGAGGGGTCAGGAACTTTGGGGGCCAGTCGCTGCCCCCCCACCCCCCAGCAAACACCTTTTCAATGGCTAAACCTCCAGAGCCCCTGAGTCTGGGGAGTTCCTTCCCAAAACCGGTCCCTAGGCCCACGCCTTGGGCCACAGCCAGGTGACTGCCTACTGTCTGGGCAGGTTGGGTACTGTGGACACGGGGTGGGGGGAAGGTGGACCCCCACCTGCTGGAGTCACGGGACGGATCCCACCCTCTGGGGACAAGTGGGGACAGAACCCCACCCTCGGGACAGAGAGGACTCCCACTCTGAGGATATGGGACAGACCCCGTCCTCTGGGGCACGGAGAGATCACCTGCCCTCTAGGGCCATGGGAACGCCACCACCTCTGGGGCATGAGCGGGTAGGACCACCAGCCTTTGAGAACATGGGGGACAGATCCCCACCCTCTGGGACACGGGAGGGAGGACCCCCCTCCTCCTGGGGCTCCGCACGGACCCAGGAAGCGTCTCCACCCGTTCACAAACCCCGTTTGGCCGCAGCGCGCCCGGGCAGGTAGGAGCCAGAGCAGAGGCCGTGAGGAGACACCTGTTTATTGAGCAGCAGAGCCGGGGGCAGGGGCGGAGCTGTGCGGTCAGGTGGTGGTCCGCGGCTACATGGTGAGCTCCTGCGGGAAACGCAGAGAGAGAGGGCAGGCTGGGGAGGGGCGCAGCAGGGCCAGCAGCAGGGGGCCCAGAAGGGGCCAGCCACTCACCATGATGGCGTTGACGATGTCGCTCTGGTTGTCCCTCAGGGCCCGCACTGCCCGGGCCCGCGACACGTTGGCCTGCGCCATCACCAGCTCGATGTCCCGGAGCTCCAGCCCTGCCTCATCCACCTGTGGGGGGCAAGCAGGCAGGTTCTGGGGCCGCCCCGCCCCCAGGAAAAGCAGTTGAGGATCCCCACGCCCCGTGTCCTTGCGCCTCACCTCCTCCTCCTCCTCCTCCTCTTCCTCCTCCTCGCACTCGGGCCTCACCAGCGGCCCGGGCGCGGACTCAGGGACCAGGGCGGAAGGCTCCGTGGGCACTTTGAACTTCTCAGCAGCAGCTCTGTGCACTTGCTGGGACAGGTCCTCGATCTGCAGGGGCACAGCGGTCAGCCCAGCCCGCACCCTGGGCCCCCGCCCCTGCCCGCGGCCTGCCAGACCTTGGCCTCGCCGAAGACCACGTAGGTGTCTGAGGCTGGGCTCTTGAAGACGTCGGGCTTGGCGATGACAAACAGGATGTTCTTGGACTTCTGGATGGTGATCCGGGTGACCCCCTGGATTTGCCGCAGGCCCAGCTTGGACATAGCCTGGGGGCACAGGGCGGGGGGCTCAGACCTGGGCATCGACCCCAGGGGTCCCAGGCTGGGGTGGGGAGGAGTGGGTGGGCCCAGGGGGAGAGAGCACACTGATGGGGGGAACGAGGGTTCTGTCACCAACCCTGGGGGACCCTCTGTGGTCTCTGGGCAGAGCCTGTGGGAACACCAGCCCCCCGGGCGTTCAGTGGGTGCCAGACCCCAGCTGGGGGCACATTCTCGATGGACGCTCCGGCCCCAGCAGCTTCACGACCCGACAGCCACTGGGTGTGAAGGGTCCCCTGATGCAGCAGGCCCCGCCCTCACGGAGTGGCCCCAGCGGGACCCCCACCCACCTTTCGGGCTTTCTTCTCACTACGACTCTGCTTGGCTTTGGCCACGGTCTCCTCGCCGCTGCCACCTGCCGGGGCCTGGGGAGAATGGGGTTTGAGCACCTGAGGGGAGGGTGGGGTGGAGCCCTCCCAGGGGTGCAGCCTCCCCCCTCCCGGGCCGGGCACCTGGGCCGGGCACTGTGCCGTCTGCGCTCCTGAGAGGTCCTGCTCCTCCAGCTCTGCGGACGACTCGCCGTGGCTGTCCGAGTGCTGGCCGGATCCTGGAGCCCTCGGCGGCGAGTCTGGGCATGGGGTAGGGGTGTGTGTGCGTTGAGGATGGCTTCCCACCCACCTGCCACCTCTGGTCCCCGGCTCAGGACAGCGTTCCAGCCCCGGCCCCTCTCACCTTCCTCCAGGCTGTCCTGGTCATCTTGCTGCTCGGCGGCCGGGAGCCCTCGAGGGCCAGGAGGCACTTGGCAGGGGGGCGAGATCCGCCAGGCCTGGTCTTTGGCATGGGTGTCCCCCGTGGGGGCCGTCTTGGGGCTGAGGATCGGGGAGTGGGGTGGGAGGCTGACCCGATGCCCGGCCCCAGGAGGTTTCATGGTTCCTGAGAAGGCAGCCACCGCCCGCTGGGCTCCTGCCCGTGGCGGCTGGAGGCCCAGAGGGCCCGGGGACTCCTTGCCCTCATCTGAGTCTTCCCTGGGGCCCTGGCAAGGGCAGGGGGTGAGGGGTGCCATGGGGCATGGAGCTGCCTCTGTGGGGACCCCAGGAGCAGAGGGCTCTGGGACGAGGAGCCTGTCTTGGGGCACACTGGGCAGGCCCCTGGCAGGGCTTTTGGGGGCTTGTGCTGGGGACGAGCTGGGGCTTCCAGGTGCTACTTGTGCCCACTCTCCACTGCCTGGGCCCAGCACGGGCTCTGGCTGCCGAGAGGGTGCTGGAGAGGTGGGGGCAGGCTCTTTGGGGCAGCCCCTGCCAGGCCTGGGCACGAACCTCGGTGGAAACTCGGAGCAGGAGCCCAGCCCAGCTTCTGAGGCCACAGCAACAGGGGACCTGGGCTCAGAGTTGGCTCTTCCCTCCTCCACTGGGCTCTGGGGCCATGTGTGGCCAAACTCGGGGCGAGCAGCAGGATGTACCTCTGGGCCACTATCCCCAGGAGCCTTCCTAGCACCCTGGGGTGCTGACTCGAGGCCTCCAGCCCCTTGATTCTCACCCCCTGGGGCCTCCTTCAGGGGCAAGTGGGGCTCGGCTCCATCACCAGCATGCACACAGGCACTGGGACCGGTTCCCTGCTCAGGTGCCAACAGGCCCTCAGCTACTTCTTCTCCAATGGAGGCAGGCTTGGGTGGGTCTGTGGCCTCCATGGAAGGCCTAGGGGGGCCTGTGGCAGGCTCTGGGCATTCTGGAGCTTTTGTGGCAGGCTTGGGGCATTTTGGGGCCTCCGTGGCAGGCTCTGGGCATTCCGGGGCCTTTGTGGCAGGCTCAGAATGTTCTGAGGCCCCCGTGGCAGGCTCTGGGCATTCTGTGACCCCCGTGGCAGGCTCTGGGCATTCTGGGGCCCCCGTGGCAGGCTCTGGGCATTCTGGAGCCTCCGTGGCAGGCTCTGGGCATTCCGGGGCTCCCATGGAAGGCTCTGGGCGTTCTGGGGCCCCCGTGGCAGGCTCTGGGTGTTCTGGGGCCTCCGTGGCAGGTTCTGGGTGTTCTGGGGCCCCCGTGGCAGGCTCTGGGCGTTCTGTGACCCCCGTGGCAGGCTCTGGGCATTCCAGAGCCTCTGTGGCAGGCTCTGGGCATTCCGGAGCCCCCGTGGCAGGCTCTGGGCGTTCCGGGGCCCCCGTGGCAGGCTCTGGGGGTTCCGGGGCCCCTGTGGCAGGCTCTGGGTGTTCCGGGGCCTCCGTGGCAGGTTCTGGGTGTTCTGGGGCCTCCGTGGCAGGCTCTGGGCGTTCCAGAGCCTCCGTGGCAGGCTCTGGGCATTCTGGGGCTCCTGTGGCAGGCTCAGAATGTTCTGAGGCCCCCATGGCAGGCTCTGGGTATTCTGGGGCCTCCGTGGCAGGCTCTGGGCATTCCGGAGCCTCCGTGGCAGGCTCTGGGCATTCTGGGGCCTCTGTGGCAGGCTCAGAATGTTCTGGGGCCCCTGTGGCAGG